TGCCTGGAGGGTCCAAGTGGAAACACAATAACACAGGCTGTCACACCTGCCCCAGCCTCCACTCCCTCCTCATCCTGCTCAAGTCCTGTCAGAGAAAGCTGAGAGAGACAGGGACATGGAGATTGGAGGGAGAAGGACAGGCACAGGCAGAGAGGAGGAGCATGGGCTTCCATGTCTGGAAATGGAAATGGGAGTCCTGTGAGCAAATGGAACCTGCAGTGTTGTTCAGCCCCACGCAATCCTGAAGGACTTGGGAAGGGTAGGTGGGCATAAAAGAGGCTTCTTTGCCTTCTAGAAGCTTCCCTGGAGGTCTTCCAATTGTAACTTACTACGACTACCTCTCCAGGGCTCCCTTCATGACTGGAGCTCAGAGTGCTTCTACTGAGCCCTTCCCGATCCCGGGCCCTCCCATGAGAGTAGCAGGACATCACTATGGCAAGATCAGTGTCCTGCCTTCTTTCACCTGCCCCCTTCCATGGGCTTATCAAGTCTCTTTCTAGGTTCCCGTAGGTTCAGGCCTCTGCCTCCTTTCCCTGGTCCCGAGGACTCGTCAGGAAAACTCAGCAGCTTGTTCTTCCAGTTGGGCCTCACCTGTCTCAGTTAAAGGTCTGTGTTGGCTGGTGACTTCATTTGGCAAATGTCTCTAAGAAAGTGGGCCTGATTCTGCCATAGTGGCGACTACCTGCGTATGTCTGTGTGCATGTGAGATTTCCCTATTCCAGGCCTGTGGGGAGGGCCAGCATGGTAGCACACCTTGGCGGATGGCCTTCAGCCTCTCCTGGGTTCCCTCTGGAGGGGCTCCTTAGTGCCAGTCTTGCCTTTATCTAGCTCAGCTGTGGGGACCTTGAACTGCCCAAGACTTGGGCTTGTTACCCTGAGGCCCTGCTGGACTTAACCTCACTCCTTGCTTCTCACACCAGAGAAAGAAGAACTAAAGCCCCCGAACAGCCCAACAAGACTGCGGCCTGTCAGCCTTAGCTCATGATGTATCAGAGATCCAAGCCCTGGGCATTAAAGGCTGTTCTGGTACCCACAGGGCTCTGGTAGACATTCTGTCCACACCCATACTCGGACTCCCTCTCTTCATGTATGTGGACTGATGTGACCAGAGGACCCTTCTAGAAGCACTAAAAGTAGAATGAGAGGCTGGGCCCAGGATATGCCCATGCAGGGGGCAGCAGCCTCCTCTGTGTGGGGAGACAGGGAGGTGTCTTTCTCCCGGCCTGGGCCTATGGCCCCTACAGGCAGGCAGTGGGTGGAGGTTCTAGGGCAGTGATGGTGAACTTTTTAGGGCTTTCAATGATAACAAATAGTCCGCTGCAGCACAAGTGCCATAAGTTCACCACCGCTGTTCTAGGGGCACCTGTCCTGGGTCCCCTATCCTCAGGTCTTTGGGACATTGAAAGCCTGGAAGCAAAGTTCTAGGAGTTCGGATAAAGATAGAACCAACTTCTGCGTGTGGCCAGGGCCCACTTTCCCTTCCTTCTCTGGCGATTTCATTTCTAGCCCCTCCAGGATCCTCCCAGCCTGCTTCCTTGAAAGTCTCACTCTTTCCCCGCTTCAAGTTCCTCTCCTTACCTCTCTACTTCTCTCACTCCCTTCTTTCTTCTCTTCCTCTCCTGCCCGCTCCCCATCACATTCCTTCTCCTCCCACCCCTCCTGCCCCACACCCTTGTCTTGTTCCCCATTTCTTCAGTCAGTTTTCACATTCCCATCTCTCTTCTCTCCCTTTCCCCCAGAAGATTTAATGGATATTAAATTATTTTAAACCAACTTTCTTTAAAAAAAAAAAAAAAAGCTTGGTGATAGTGCTGACTCAGGACCATCTCGCTGTTTAATATTGAATATGCAATTAATAGATAGATGTTTAGGTTTGGCTCTCTTTCCCCCTTTTCTACTGCAGGAAGAATAAAAGAGCTGATTAATCTGGCTTGGGGCAAGTGTCAGCAGCAGGAGATATATGGGAGAAAGGAGATGAGGTTAGCAACTTGGAGTCAGAGAGCAATTGCCTCCCAGGCAAGTGAGGGAGAAAAGGGGTGGAGGCAGAGCTCCCAGAGGCTGCAGGGCTGAAGGGACGCCTGATGCTCACAAGGGTTCTGAATACTTCAGTCTGGGGCCTGGATACTGCCTACCAAGGCCTCTCTCCCTCCTCCACAACTGTGGGCCTGGTTCATGGCACCGTTGCTTCTTCTCCACGTGTGGCACCTCCCCTCCTTCAAGGCCAGAAGTGCCACCTCCTCAAGCATCACCTCCTCTGAGGCCCCTGGCTGTCCCTCACTCCATGACTTCACTCTGGGACTTCTGGTGTCATCTGCTGTCTAAGCCACCTGCGTCCACTGGGGAGTTTTCCCTTTGTGGCTGCCTCCCCGCCTCCTAGCCATGCTACCCGAATAGAGTGCTGCCGCAGGTGAGTCACTGCAGGCCTGAGTGACCCTGGCCTTGCTAGGCCTGCTTTCTGGAGATCGTCTCCAGGAAAGGCCCCTGGGTCTCTGGAGTCCGGGGTGAGGCTGGGCAAGGACACTGCTCCTGTCGCTGCTGGGGAAAGGGCAGGAACAGGTGGCATGATCCAAGTGGTTTGCTCACTCAGATACCTTGCACCTGAGCCATCTTTGCCCCTCAACTAAATGGACATTGATGGTCAGGGTCCTCAGGACTGAATGTGCTTAGCAGGCCCTGGGAGATGTGTCTGCACTCCCAGGCACGGGGCTTCTTCAGGCAGCACCAAGATACCAGCCCAAGGCTGGTGCATGTGTCCAGAGGCCCAGGCTAGGAAGGGGTGGATCGTAGAGGCCTTGTGCCCAGCCAGGTGCTGCTGCAGTCCCCAATGGTAGTGGCCTGAGCTGGAGGGGTGAGGGAGTTCTCTGGGAGGGACCATAGGTTCCAGGGGCAGGCAGCCCACCTGCTGTCACACTATACAGTCCTTCCAGGATAACTGGCTCTCCAAAGTTGTAAATAGCTCTAGTCTATTTCACTTTTTGCCCTTAATTTCATGGTAACTTTTTGAGAGGGGGAAGAGAGTTTTAAAAAAAGAAAAAGTGTGTGGCTAAGTGTGTGGCAGGGAGGGCCAAGGGGTAGAAGACCCTGGGCTTGGGGAAGGTGGTGGACATGGTCACTTGGGTCAGAGCCAAGCTGGAAGAAGGGCTTGGTAGAAAACGCCAGGAGCTCCTGGGAAGCTACCTGGGCTTCCTGGTCCCAGCAGTCCTGCTTAGGGGAGAGGCAGGCTAGGGAGCACCTTAGTGGCTATACCTGATGTCACCTTCTTAGGACAGGAAAGGCTTCAACTTCTTACACTTCTCTCGGTGGCCTCATGGAATATTCTAGATTTTTCTGAACGCTCCTAAGCAGTCGCTATTCTGGAGAAGGCCCTTTCTGGTAGGAGGCTGGAGGCCGTATGTCCTTCTGCTTCCTCTCTACTGGGATGTCCTTCTGACATATCACTGCTCAGCTCCCCACCTGGTTAAACTGCATGTCCTTGGGTTCAGGGCCCTCACAGGCAGGCAGGACCTAGCATTCCCTTGGGAGTCTTTGGACTGGCAGGGACTGTTTGGCCGTTTGCCCAGAGAAGTGGCTGAAATCACAGTTCAGGGCTGAGACCGGGCAGGGCCATTGAGGTATGAGGGCCATTGAGAAGTGGCAAGGAGGTGGTGGTCAGCAAGGCAGGAAGCAGGAAGGAGGATACTTTTCTCCTCAAGAAAGTGGGCCAGGTAGATAGACCTAGCAGTGGCCTGCAAATTGCTTCCTCCTGTGGGGCTGATGCATCTCTTTCTCTCCCTCAGGTGAGTCAGGCTGGGCTGAATATCATGGGGAGCAGTTCGCATGGGAGGAGCCAGTGCTGGGCGGTGGAAGCCTGATCATGATGCTGAAGGTACAGGGATACATCAGTTTACACACTTAATTTGTTTTATGATTTGGGGGAAGATGGCTGCAGTTGTGTTTGTGTGGGGAAGACGGCCATGGTTACGTTTGTTACCCAGGCAGACTTTGCGAATGGAAGCAAAATTTTGCCTAATTCTTTCATTTATGAACTGAATTGTTTGCAAACAGAAACGTTGGGTGAACCAAGGTATTGCAGTACTTTCTCCACTCCATTTTTTTTAGTTTTACAGAGAAAATAACAAAAACAAAAGCATAAACAAAATAACATAAAAACAGCAAAAATGATATAGAATCTTAAAACAAGGTGGTAGGAAATCAACACCTTCATTTTCACTTACAATTGCAGCACGTTTGGATCCTGTCTAGGGCATCCTACGGACATGGGGCCAAGTTATCCCTGGAGCTGAGATGCAGCTCCAGAGGGGCTGTCACTGGGGACAGAGCTGTCTCAAACTGCCACCTGCCCTGCCCTTCCAGGCTGAGCTCCAGTGTGAAGCAGCTCCCGAACCCACTCCCCACCCAGGGGCGCAGCCACCTCATGTCAGGCTCTGGCAGGTTCCACATTCTAGGGCAAGCATTAGTGGGTGAGTCCATGTCCTTTTCGCCTGTCCCCTTCAAGATATCTGTCTGCCTGCTTGTACCGGTATCTACCTGCCCAGTCCTTACCTCCACACCAGCCTGCGTGTCCCGCACCCCACCACAGCCCCTCAGACCTGCTCCCTCCCGCCTGAATCATCTTAGGGTAGGGCTGCAGTCATTGCCTACTTCCTGGCCAGGCACCCCTTCACTCAGATCACATCACAGTGGGGTCCTCCTCCTCAGTACCAGGGCAGGCACACTGTTTTGGGTGTCTCAGAGGAAAAGCCCGAGGACTACTACTTTCCTTAGAGCAGGGGGAAAAACTCTGCAGCCTGCGGACTCTAGTATCCCAGTTTCTCACTGTCTTTCCATACCAGTCACTCAGAGCTCCAAAGCCCCGAAACCAACCTCCAGCCCTGAGGTCCCTCCCAGGAGGAGGAGCCAGGGAGTCGCTGCGTCGGGACAAGGTGGGCAGGGAAGAGAGGAGGGAGGGGCAGAGACAAGTGGGCCCTCACGTGAAGGGGGCTGGCGCAGGCAGCTACTACCTCCTCGGCTCTCGCTGTCCGCGGGCTTCACCTGGATCGGCCGGTTCATCTGTAACAAAGCACAGGGGACGGCGTTACAGAGGGCGTGGGGACAGGGGCAGACACCTGCGCTACCGGCACCCAGGTGCTCCCGCACAGACCACACCCAGAAACACCCCACCCACACGCTGTTGCAGGGCATCCTCCCAAAGCCCTGCCCACCCCCCTCTCCGTGGCCCAGTCTCATGGCTCCCTCATTTCAGGGGGTTGTTCTGGGTTGGAGACACTGTGGGGCTTCCCCTTCCACTCTGAGCAGCTCTTGCTTGCTTGTCAGGCAGAATCCGAGGTTGATGGAATGCTTGTTCTTGCCCTTTACATCCACAAGGTCCTCCTGTACCCAAGGCTCACCTGTGGCCCAGCCCTGGTCCCTCTAGACAGTTGGCATTGCCAAAACAAGCCAATCTGTATATAGACAGACCTCTGCCCCTCCCAGTGCATGGCTTTGAGCTTTGCCCCAACCGTGGCATCTCTCAGACACTGCATGAGGGAAGGAAGTAGCTGAAGTTGTGCAGCTTCCAGCTCCTTGGCTGGAGCAGATGTCAGGGCTGGGATCCCAGTTACAGCCAGCACTGACCCTTCAGAGCTTGGGTGGACTAGGTCTAGCCACTCGTCTCCTGGGGTGTCCATGTGCCAAGGGACTCTGAGGCACTGCCAGACCAACTCCCTAGGCTTGCGGGCCACAGGCCTCTCTCAGGATCCATTTCAATGCTCCATTCCAGCCACTAGGGGTCTCTGAACTCCAAGCATCCTGGCTCCGCAGCCGTTTTCAACTCTTGCCTGCAGGCACCAGGGTGGACTTTTCAGCTTTGAGTTCCCACCGTATTTCAGGCAACAAAAATGATAGAAATCACACTGATGCATCGTGCCTTATGTCTTTGCCAATACTGCCTGCCGTGTCCCTCCCGGATGCCTTATTGCATTTGCATTTGTCTCATAAACACAGGTCCCTGAGAGGCAGGCAGGGCTGCATATACACCCCCACTTTACAGATGGAGAAGTCAAGGCACAAAGGTCATGAACTTTCCCCTCCTGGCCCATCCTGTGTTAGGACGAGGACAGAAGCTGCAGTCAGGTGCTTTGAGATTTTTCTGCCAATTCTCTCCTGTACAGGGGCTGGGCCAGCCAGTCACAAGCCTCCTGCCTTCCAGTCTAGGATTCAGAGTGAGTTTTGGCTGGATCCAGACAACTGGGAGGAAGTGAGGATGCCCGTGACTCAGCAAGGTGAAGCTGAGGCCAGAAGAAGGACACAGCCTCACTAGGAAGGACAGAGGCAGGAGGCAGGACACAGAGCAGACGGGGAAGGAGGCCAAGGGGACCAGGGCTGGCAAGGCAGGCCTCCTGGACCAGTCCACTGGGAGGGGCCAGGGTGTCATTGTTTGATTCCAGGTCCTCATCTGACACCCCTGAGAGAGTTGAGGAAAACAAAGGGAGATGCTTTGCATGTGAGCCCTGGCAGCAGGGGAAATCATCTACAGCACACTTGACCACAAGAGGAAGAAGGGATGTAACGATATTTCTGGCTTCCTCACAAACACCACCTTTCCAGGGCTGGAGGGGAGGGTTTAGCAGGCCAGCTAGGCACCTGGGTGTGGGAAAGGGGCTCCAGGTCACTCCTGATTTGCTTTTTAAAATTCAGCATCTTACCCTCTCCCAGGCTGCCCCAGGCTATTGCTTCCTCCTCATCTTCCCTCAAGCCTGCAGTGTTCTACTCCAAGAAGGTTCTGAGGTCTGGCCTGGACCCAGCTCCGGCCAGTGTATCCTCTTACACATATTCCCAACAGGCTTAGAGATTATGTAAGTTCCCAGCTGTCAGAGGTGGGGATTGTTATCTCCATCTTGCTGGTGAGGAAACCTGACCAGGATTCAGCCAGGAGAGGCTGGTGTAGCCCTAACAATGTCATGGTCATTGGCTTTCCTGTGTGTTCTATCAGTAACCCCAACCTCTCTAGGAGAAGGGAACCCAGGAACAGGAAAGTGGAGAAATATCTATATGGAAATGGCAGTGTGGGGCCAGGTTCTTTGAGCCATCGAGTTGAATACCAGCTCTTTAGCCGGGAATTTGGTCCCACTCCTGTCCCACAGCCACCCAGTTTCCACATCTTCCTCTCCGACCCAGGTCCATGCCCTGGGCCTGCAGGTCTCCCTTGCCCTCAGCCTCCTCCTCTTGATATGCTGGTCATTCTTTAAAGCTGGTCTGCAGGATCCCTGTTATAGACTGAACTGTGTCCCCCTGACTCATATGGCAAAGCTGTGCCTGCCAATGTGACTATATCTGAAAATAGGAAATTTAAGGTGATAACTAAGGTTCAATGAAGTTGTAAGTACAGGGCCTTAATTCCACAGACTGCTGTCTTTATAAGAAAAAGAAGGCACCAGGGGCATAAGAACATAGAAAAAAGGCCATGTGAGGACACAACAAGAAGGTGGCCCTCTTCAAACCCCAAAGAAAGCCTCCTTAGCCACTGACCCTGCCCACACCTGCATTTTGGACTTACTGCCTCTAGATCTGTGGTACTTTCAGCTACCAGTCTTCTCGCCATGACAACCCCAGCAGATAAAATGAACCCTTCAGTCTGCCCCCTCCCTAGGGTGGGGTGATATCACAGGGTTCCCCCATTTTCCATGTAGAAGGCACACTCAAGGCTGGGGACTGACCTGCAGGAGGTGGGGGGCACAGGCTGCGTAGGCTTCCTCCCCAAGGGTATACAACACTCTCGAGAACATGAACAACTGCTATCCACGTTATATAGCTGGATTATAACTCCTCCTAGCATGTAAGTGAACAGAGTCTCTTTAACTTCAGTCAATGAAGTGGAGCTTTGGCGAGGTTAAGAAACCTGCCTGAAGTCACACAGGTGGTAAATGGTGATATCAGGATGAATCCAGGACTCTTAACACTCGGCTGTGTGTTTAGAGGATGCTGGAAGCTGGCACAAGAGGGCTTTGGGATGGCTTAGGAGAGTTTACAGCAGAGGCCAGAGGGTGGGGAGCAGGGTGTCTAATGGGGGATATAACCAGCAAGCATGAGGAGCAGGATGTGGCTGAGAAGGGGCATGGGGGAGCTGCTCACCAGGAGCAGTGTGTGTGAAGTCAAGGCAGGGGCAAAGCTGTGTAGAGGGCCCCGTTCCAGACGAGAACAGCAGATCCTTCAGCCTTCAGGGTGCTGTAGGGAAGAAGTGCAGACCACTGGGAAGAGACCCCCAGTCTTCTCTGGATGGTCTGAGAGCAGCTGGGGTAAGTCCTACAGATTCAGGGGCTGGGGGAGAGCTATTTCTGATACAATGAGTCCCATTTTTGATGGTAAATCAAACAAGGCAATGAAATCCCTCTGTGCATGCAGCCGTCTGTTCTGGTGGGCATCTCACCCTCAGGTCGCCGTTCTACCATCCCCTGTCCTTGGTATTTGGGTGTTTGTGACATTTGGCCCCATGTTCTGATTTATGCCTGGGGTGGTCTTCTCTGAGAGCCTCCCCTGCTACATCAGCTTTGGACAGTGCGTCCAGAACTTGTCCATAGCTTGGAGCTGGGCTTGCTCACTCACCCCTAGACCCTGCCACGGATCCCTTAGCTTCTCTCCAGCTCCACTGTGGTTCCCTGACAGGGATCTAGGGCTCCCTCAGCCAGTTTCCCACCTATCCTCAGCCATGGGCTGGGCACCTACAGGTGCTTTAAACAGACTAGGAGTGTAGAACTGATTGCTCTCCCTGGAGTTGTGTCTCCTGGGGTGATTTTTCATGTTCCAGTATGATGTGAGGGTGGTCAGTGTCCAGGGCTTTGCAGATTTGTCAGACAGGTGCCAAACTAGATGGTGAGATAAAACACAGCCCCATGATTTCTTCATTCTGAGCAGAGATAAGTTGTCAGGCTCTGGTGGAAAAGTTTCTCAGCTGGAGCTGACTCTGTACAGTGGGGCCTGAAGGGGGACCTCCTACTCCTGTCCCCAGCCCTGCCCTCGTCCACGCCTTGTTTCTGCCTTGAAAAGGGAGATGGAACAGAGTAAGCTGGCCTTGGCAGAGGAGGTTAGGCCACGCTGCAGAGATGGGGAGAGGGGACAAGACAGAGTACGGCTTTGACCGAGGACAGGGAGAGAACAGGGGAACGCCTGGCCTGAGAGTGGGACAGGGCACAGAAGGGTCAGGGAAGGAGGGAAGAGTCAGAGAAGAGCCCCAAAGGGGTGACTGTCACCTCTCTGCCCTTCATGTGTCTGTGCCCCTCAGGTCCTGGCCCCACCCTGGCCTGTGTACTGCTCTAGTGCCTTG